GGGATTGAATGGCTTCAAGACCAGGTGGGACAGAAACTTCCATCTACAATAATATAAAAAATAAAACCACACAAGCAGAGCACACAGCACGGTCCATGGTGCAGCCCTGCCATCATTTCGTTCCCTGCCCACAGCTGCTGTTTAATTTCTATCACTCCTCAAGCCCACCCCACTGTCAGCCTTGACTTTTCAGTAGCTGGCTTTACTTTTCAGTAGAAGCAGCAGAGATCCAGACATGGATGCTAACCACCAGGCAAACTTACCATGAGCAGAGAGCTGTCTCTCCTGCTCCAAGAGAGCAAATATGCTGGTCCCATCACAGCTCATCTGTCCTGGGTCCCATCCATACTATCCCTTCTGGGTGCTTGTGTCATTAGGGAAATCTAAATCATCAGCTCACCCCTTCCCCACCTCACTGCACCGGTTCTGTCTCCCTCATCCAACAACAAAAGGAAAATGATTCTCAGGTTCCTTTCTTCTCCTTTATATCCAAACTTGTAGAAAAGCTAATCTTTTTCTTTTTCTTACATGTTACTGTCCTACCCAGTGTCTAAACTCCCACCACCCATCATGCCATCAAGGACTTTCTTTTTATTACATTTATTTATGCATTTATGTGTGTGTTTATTTATTTGTTATGTGGGCACATGCCATGACATGCATTTGGAGCCAAAGGACAAACTGTGGGAATCAGGTGACTTGCATATACATTTAAATGTTGTTAAGTATGGCCTTTTAAGGTTCATTTAAATCCTTACGATTCCATTTCAACAGCCACGAGCTGGAGGTGAACTGCTGGGTGGTGAACTACTCAGAAGCTAAATGATTTTCCCAGTAGGAAAATGTCCACGTGTGTAGGATAATTAAAGAAGGTTTCACTGTCCCATAAACTGAACAGTGGAGAAGTGTAGTTGTATCAAAGGCAAGCTCTAGGATGAGGTTTCTAGCTGGGGATTGCCTAGAACTGCTCCCTTAGGTTCCACTAAAATATCCCTGAGCCCTGCTTTTCAAGAAGGAAACAGGCTACACACTTTGTCTCAAGGAGCATATTCTGGCTAGAATGGTCTGAGCTTTCTAACGAAACTCTAAGACCCGGGCAGGACAGGAAGTGGCTTGGCCTGGAGACTTGGGGACAGTTTTGCATCAGGAAGGAAATCTGGGTTGAGCGTTGAAGGTGGAATGGAGTAAAGGTAGCCGAATCAGAATCAGCCTAGCTGGACAGAACACAAGGAACAACAGCAGGTGAAATGGAGTGTGAGCCCGAGCAGAGCTCAGAGCCAGGGACTGCCAGAGCCTCGGATGTTGCTAGGGATCTTACTGTAGGCAACAGAAAGCCACCTTTGACTTCAGTCAGGGATAATATGATTAAACTTGCAGTTTTCATTTCTAAAGTTAAACTTTTTGCTTTTTGTGAGAGTTCCATATATTGAGTACTGTATTTATACCATTTCTACTTTGTTTTTGTTTTGTTTTGTTACAGGGTGTCTCTACATAGCCCCAGTTGAACTTACTATGTAGACCAGGCTGGCCTCAAACTCATAGACATGCACCTGCCTCTGCTTCCCCATTGCTGGGATCAAAGGTGTGGGCTACAATACACAGGCTTAGTGGTTTCTAGCACTGGATGTTATTCCAGAGGACCCAGGTTAGATTTGTAGCACCAACATGGTGGGTCAAAACCACCTGCAACACCAATTTCAGGGGATCCGATGCCCTCTTCTGGCCTTGTTGGCCATTACATGAACGTGGGGCAGAGATATAATATGTAGACAAAATACCCATACACATAAGACTATTTTGAAAGTTCTAAAGAGGATCTTTGATTTTTATTTTGACATTCAAATTTACATTTTAAGAAATGCTAACATGAAGAATTAACTTTGAATCAGGTGGAATTTTATCCAGCTCACATCACATGTCTTGACCCAGTTGTCATACAAAGGCAGCAAAGCCATAGGAACACAGTAAAATGCTCGGCTGGGACTTAAACAGCTTGCTTAGGAATAACATTCATATCTATGTGTAATGGGAGAATGGCAGGAATATTTCAGTCTACCTAACCTACTTTTGTAATGCTCCCCAAGCAAAAGTCAGTGAGAGAGCTTACTTCTTTTTTGTTGTTGTTTTTTGTCTGTTTGTTTTTGTTTTTCAAGACAGGGTTTCTCTGTGTAGCTTTGGAGCCTATCCTGGCACTCGCTCTGTAGACCAGGCTGGCCTCAAACTCACAGAGATCCACCTGCCTCTGCCTCCCGAGTGCTGGGATTAAAGGCATGCGCCACCAACACCCGGCGAGAGCTTACCTCTTACCTACTTCGTAAGCTTCAGAAGTATTTCCAAACGTGCCAATATGCCAACATGTAGATAGTGGTGGGCACCTAAAATGTGGCCTATGGTGTGAATGCAATACACACAACAGATTTTGGATTTTGAAACATATATGAATAATTTTACATTGATTGATTATTGAAATGAGAATATTTTGAGTGTAGTCTCTTTTTAAAACTCTTCTTGGTTCCCATGTTGGAGTATACCACCTCTTTCCCGTATGGTATGGATCTTGGCTAACAAAACACTAAAATGAAATGTACTTTTGAAATTTTTGTTTATATCACGATATATTTCTTACTTATTTGGATGAATTGAAACTTTTCTCTTCCATACACACCCATGTGCACACACATTTAAAGCCTCGCTCTATAATTTCATGTTTTTATTTATATCAGATGAACCCATTTCTGCTCTTGTAGGTTCACAGAAAAAAAATCACCACCTTGCAAAGGAACAGGGTTAGCAGAACAGATCCTGAGTCCTGAGTAAAAGTCTAGAGATGAATAACAATTAACTATAACCAATGGATGGGCATTCCAATATTAAAATTGATAGTAACTCATTTTATTTGGCCTATTCCACCCAGAAGGACCCAAAGAAGACCCCTGAATTAACCCTTCCTCCAATAGAACTGAGATTAGGTTGTACCTAATTGTCTCCATTATTATTATTATTATTTGAATCTGGAAAATAAGACAAAAATGTGATTTTTATTCTCTGAAGGAAATTTGTTGTTTTGAATTCCAAATATTGGCAGTGGTGGTAGCAGGGAAGTGTTAAAAGGGGAGAAAATGACCAGTTGTAGAGGCCCATGCCTTTAATCCCAGGGAGGCAAGAGCAGGTGGAGCTCTGTGTTTCAGGCCAGCCTGGTCTTTAGAGTGAGTTCCAGGACAGCCACAGCTACACAGAGAAACCATGCCTTGAAAAGCCAAAAAAATGAAACAACAACAAATAACATAATAACAAAAACAAAAGAAAAAAGATAGACTTGAGGTGAGTTTGAGCATGCTCTACCATGAGCTTCAGGATTGGTAAAAGCTACCTTCTTCTGACTGTAGTGAGAACAGAATGGAAAGATGGACACAGCGCACCTAAGCACAGAACATAACCACAGATGCTCAGTCAATGGTCAATGGCAGCTGCACATTATCTGTGAATAACAGAAGAGACTCATGAAAAGGAAAAATGGCTTGACTACCCAAGAGATATGAGGGCACTTGGCTTCTAGTTTATGGGAAACTTTCCTTTCTGAGTGTCCAGTCCCCAGATCAGAGATGGATAGGCAGCTTGGGGGATAGGGTTAGAATACATCACTGCTCAAGTCTGCTCAGCAGTTAATTCTTGCAGCAATGCTCATAGGAAAGGTACAAGATCTCTCCACTCTTCCATAATAAAAGTCCATAACCACTTATTTGTTACCCATGAAACACTCCGTGAAGTAAGGAAACAATGCACGTGTTGCACAGCAGAGGGGTAGTAACAATTGATGTGTAAATACCCCAACAGGGCAAAAGCCTGCCATCCCTCACTAAATTCACTCTTGGGATAATAAGATGTGGTGTGACTCTCAAACCCAGTGAGCCTCTCTGTGGACCAGAGTCTACTTAGTGATCAATGGAACGGTTTGTGGTTTGAGAAAAACCATGTATGATCTTGTCCCCAGCCAACTTCTTGGTTATGGACTGTTATAAAATCCTGGCATAGGGGCCGGAGAGGTGGCTCAGAGGTTAAGAGCACTGACTGCTTTTCTAGAGGATCTCAGTTTGATTTCCAGCACCCACACTGGACAGCTCACAACTCCAGTTCCAAGGGATTGACACCCTCCTCTGGCCACCATGTTTGCTGTACTCATGAGCATAGACACACACATACACACACAATCAGAAACAGAATCTTGAAAATAACATTGTAAATGTACTAAATGCCATTCAGATGTACTGAGCTGAAGGTAAATATGGTGAAATTTGTGTCATATGCGTTTTTAACATAAAAGCCACAAACTCTAAAAGATGCACTAGAGGGTATACTTTCCCAGTCCTGAGTGGTAACTGTGATTTTCTTCCTAGCACATTCACTACCATCACATAGTATCCCCTAAATGCCTATGTGTGCATCTGCTTTGCAAAACCTCTGCCCAGTGTGTTCTACTTGAGAGCATTTTGGCATCACACAGGGACATACAGTGTGTTTCCACTCTTATTCTCAGCAGGTGATGAGCCACATAGGCTGCACAAGCACTTAGGCGCCTTTGCAAAAAGACAAAAACAAAAACAAACAAACAAACAAACAAAAAAACAAACTCTTTGGCTTTAGCACGTAATTTACCTACTTTAGAAAATTCCCCTATCCAAAGGGCAGGCTTGATTAGAATGGGTTTGTGTCTCCTCTCTGCAAAGGCACTGCATGGAGGTGGGGGAGGGGGAGTCCCAAAGCTCTGACCACCAGCTCACATAGGGCAGTGTGGCACTTGGGATTCTTAGTTCTTTGAGACAAAGTGGATAGATAGTGTTCTTTTTTGAAGCACAGACCATGAAAGTCATGGAGAAAGAAGGCAGCTGGGGATGACAAGGGAGCATCACCAGGAAGTCCCCAAGGAAAGCCTTCAGCAAAAGCCTCAGAAGCTTCACGCTGATTGAGACTGTCCCTGGAAAGCAGGGAAGGTGACTCTGGACTCACAGTAGGGAGGAACTGGCTCCCTGGGCAAGCTGCATTCTCACTCCAGACAGCAAACTTCAGCTGCTGCTGCTATACCGCCTCTTTCCAGAAATATGAAGGTTTGCTACAAATGAACAGGCCTATGATGGCCACAGCAAACAAGATCAGGGAGAAGAGAACCATGAGGGTAACGTAGGTGGAGTGAGGGAGAGGTGGGGACAGCGGCTGTTCAGCTGGGATCATGTTGGTCAAGTTCAGCATGTAGCCCAAAGTCCACCCTGCATTGCTGTCCTTGATCTGAAAACAGTAGGAAAAATCTTGTTGTTAGTGGTCCAGAAAGATGATCTGTAGGATTCATGTAACCCTCCCCAATAAACTGAGCAGCCTATAGAAAGAGAACACCTTGTGTAGTTGACACTACAGATTAACTCTATATGCTACTTTGGGAATGGTGTGTGTGGGTGGGGGGGAGTGGGGATCAAAGCAAATGATTAAAACAGAGTTTGGAGCCTCACCATCATATTCTAGAAGTTCAGGAAGTTTGCTGAATGCCTGTCCAGTTCACCTGCCTGGGAACACTTAATTCGAAGAGACCATGAGAGGTCTGCATTCTTTCTCCTTCATGAGTTAGGGAACTAAATGAGAAGTGACAGGAAATAGGCAAAAAGATAAGGGACTACTAACTGGCTCTAACCTTTTTCATCCTTGCCAGGCCAGAGAAGCCACACAGACCCAGGGCTTAATGAGGGAAAACTTAATAATTCCAGCAAGGCAACTCTATGAAGTTGGAAGGCTACGCCTCACTGCTAATAAAGAATTCCTATTAAGTTATAAGGTGTTCTCTGACCTTCTCACCTTTGAAAAAAATAATTTCCGGTCACTCAGAACTTACAGTAATATAGGTGATATTTGACTAATAGGTTTGGAAAGATTTTATTATAAGAACTGTCCGTGATGATATAGAGAAGTTAGCAAGTACAGGTAGGCCTAAAGAAGAAACCCAAAATTCTGCACACAGTGACACTCAGGACTTGCTGATGTCCTTTCTTTGTGACATTTCCTTCTGGTCCTCTGTGAACATGTTGCTGTTGCTTTTACAAAATAAGTAAGTAAATAATAAATGTATTCAGAATAATTCGCTTAGTAGTACTTTATCCCCGGTGTCTTAACATATTTCTGGATCATCATTTCCAGCATGGACTGCTTTCTCACCCATTTTAGCCAATGACTCAATACCCAAGTAATGGAATGATAGGACAAAATAATGTATACAGCCTTAAGGCTTTCAGTACCTATCAAAAAACCAAATCTCCTAAAAGGTTGTACCAACTTACAATACCCCTTTCTTCCAAACCGTAACCCATATTGACAATAATGTGTAAGAGGATTATTCTTCCCTCTCAATGTAGGATGGAAACCTTGTCTGACTGCACATCACCCGGACTTAGAGATATCAGATCATGAAGTACCATTCCAAAAATATAAATCCACACTGCCTTCTGTATCAACCAAATTTAACATAGATCCTTCTAGCAAATGAAATAGACTTATAGAATGGGAAGAAGCCTGGTATGCTAAAATAAGGAAAAGGTTTGTTTGAATGAGCAAGATCCCTAAGGAAGACAGTATTATCACATGAGTATCCCTAGAGCTGCCACAGTCCTGATTCTATGTTTTGGTTCGTCTGAGATCACTATATTTTAAAAGGTGGTAAAATACTTCAGGCGTTAGCAGTCATGGGGCTAGCAACACAGAGAACACTGTGGTATTTCCCTTCCAGCAAGGGTCGCACAGCTGCTTGCTTCTTTATTCCTGGAAGCCTGCAGGTGGCGCTGTGGCAGAGCACAGAAGGGGGGTTATTTCCTAGGTCTCACTCTGGGCCAGGTTGCCAAGCAACAGCTCCATTAGCAAGGCTGATGAGAAACCCATGACCATCGTTTCCTGGATCCAAAGGGGCACCTTTGGGGACTTCTGAAGTCAGGGCAGTGGCTAATGAAATACTAGTAAACGAATAAACTGGCTTTGAGAAGCACTAACAGCGGTGTGTGCAGAAGGTGAAATGTAGAGGGTGAATGCTGGTCATTAGAGACATAGCTGCTGCTGTTCCCAGAAGGGCTGGTGGGATGATGGATGGAACAGGACTCCCACCTTTTCTAAGTTCAAAACTACTTTGTCTCCAACTTCCACCCAACTTTTACACCTCCAACAGATTCCCAAGTTACCTTGCCCATAAAATGAATCTGGTTCCAGGAATTGGCTGTGAAGCTATAGCCTTGCAGAAGGAGGGTGAGGATGTAAGCCCCCGAGAAGCAGTATTCATTCAGGTACTTCTCCTTTACTGTAGGGCTAGCTGTTTTCACCTAGAAGTAAGGGAAGGAAATATCAAACCTGTAGAACAGACCCCACGTTGTGGCTCATTTTCACTGCTAGATGCAATAGAGACCAGGGAGTCCCCTACTCACACGGGCCTGAGGGTAGGGCTCTCCCACAGGCTGTGGGGTGGTGCTTCAGTCCTTAGGGGGTGCAGGGTTTTCAGTTAGGGTCTCCCAAGGAAGTTTTCCTCCTCAGGGCTCTCAGTGAGAACAGTAAGTATTCTAAGGAAAAGGTAATTCCTTCCTTCTTTTTTCCTTCCTTCCTTCCTTCCTTCCTTCCTTCCTTCCTTCCTTCTATCTAGGAGTTTCAGAAACAGCTTCAGTATCTCATTCCATCCCTTATCCTTGGAGTAACTTATCAATTGTGTTAGTGTATTAAAAGATGTGAAAGCATCGTCTGAAGGAAGTCCATTGGTCTCTGTTTAAACAGTCTCTGTTTACATACTGTTCACCTAGTCATTAGTGCAGAGCCTCTATAGGCATCTTAAGGAAATAATGTCCAACAAAGCCTTATCATTCAGGTTAGCCCATGGAGGACAGACAGCAATAGCATTAGCATCCCTTAGGAAGGCATCATTCTTCACCCCAGGGATACCAACTCAGGACCTGCATTTTCACTTGATTGTCTGTCTGTCTGTCTGTCTGTCTGTCTGTCTGTTTCTCTCTCTCTCTCTCTCTCTCT